ACCACAGACTACGCCACCTAGCTTGCACCGCACAGCTTAAACTACGCATATTGCACTTCATAGCGTGCACTGCATACGCTGCACACCCACATGCGTTGAACAACGTAGCTCGCACCACATACTTCACCCCACATATAAGCATCACGCATCTTACACATCATCTATGCAATATCTTATTGACTGGAGTTCACTCTGGTAAACATATTTGTATGGAGTCTTGGGTATCTGTGAAGGAGTAGAGAGGAGGACGTAGAGGGGTGGGCAAGGAGGTAGAAGGAGAGAGGAGGTAGAAGGAGAGAGAAGGAGGTATGAGGAGAGGGAGGAGGTAGGAGGAGATGGCGGAGGAGGCAGATCGAGCCATAAAAATAATGAGGGGGGACATGGGACATCGGCTGGTCTGGCTCCGAAGCGCCAGGGCCGCCAAGAGGAGGGAGGAGGAGTAGAGGAGGGACGAGCAGAAAGAGCACGAAGACCATCGCGGCGATGATGAGCAGGAAGAACGCGGAGGAAGGAGGAGGGGATAGGGAGGAAGTGAGGGGATGATGGAGGAGGGGACACCGGTGAGGTAAGCATGAGGACGGAGCAAGGAAGGTGGTGATGGAGAATGGTGAGGAGGAGGACGACGACGACGACGAAGAGGAGGATGGAACGAACGAGGACGAGGAAGAGGAATGATAATGAGGATGAGCAGGATGAGGATAAGGATTATGATGATGATGATGATGAGGAGGAGGAGGAGGAGAAGGAGGGGGAGGAGCATGGGGGCAGAGGGGGGGAGGCTGTGCCCAGCCAGTGTGCGAGGTATCCCATGCTGGCGTTCGAGGCCAAGCTTCTGAAGCATCTGCAGGGAGCTCCAGGGTTCGCCAAGGCCGCGGCAGCCCAATCTGATGCCTGTCCGGGGTCGATGGGGAGGACATCGAGAGGGGAGGAGGAGGTGGACGAGGAGAAGGAGGAGGAGGAGGGGGAAGAGAAGCAGCAGCAGCAGCAGCGGCGCGATCAGGAGGAAAGTATAACAAAAATGGATGAGGAGGAGGAGGAAGAGAGGGAGGGGGTGATGACAAGCTAGGTGCTCTCGCGTCAGATCTGTCGTCATAACCCTCCCTCCCAACCCTTACCATGGCGCAGATCTCCTCTTTATGCGCACAGGCTGATGTAGAGCAAGGCTATGATCCCGAGAGGTTTTGCGATGCACTGTAAAGCACGGCATATCATGGTGTAGAGGAGCGCGGCAAAGCAGAGCATGTCATAGCATGGCTTGGCATTGCGTAGTGTAGCATTGCATCACAAAGCGTAACATCGCAAATATTTCATCGCACAGAGGAGCACAACGCAACATCGCATTGCATGGCATGGCACCGGACGCCTTGAGAAGGCCTGTCCGGAATCCCGGCTCCATGTCTTGTGCAACCGTGGCTGCCAGATGTGGGCGCTTTTGAATGCCAAGTGCTGTCTGGCAGGGGTACTGTGATAGCGCAAGGCCCCACCCATTTCCTTTCGACACGCTGCCTTGTGTTCCCCGAGCCCCCTCCAAGTCTCCCTGGGCTCCCCGGACAGCTCTGCACGAGGCGTGGCGGATGGCCCGAAGACTTCTGGAAGCTCCAGGGAACGCACAGAAATTGCCGACGGCGACAACGACGTAGACGACGTCGGCGGCAGCCGCGGGGAAAGCTGCGGCAGGCGAGGACGGATGTCAGGGAATAGCACGGCGGGCTGCCAGGCTCGATGGTCTGGCTTCATTGAGCAATCGGCTCACACTGGGCCCCTGGACCCTTCACGGGGTCAGGTCGGATCGGCTTTTTCCAGCCGGATCGTTTTTGAAGGTCCCCTGCCCTGGGTGGGGTTTGGCCCCAAAAAAAACAACGAATCGACACCGAACGTGTAATCATTTCCGATGGTTTTTTTGGGGGACATTGTTTCAAGTTGCGGGCCTATTTGCCGTGGCATGACGCTGGAAATAATGACGCCAGCGCTGCAGCGGGAGCACGATTCGGACCCAGAGGAAGCGCGGAAATGAGGCCAGCGCTGCAGAGGGAGCACGATTCGGAACGAACGGAAGCGCGGAAGTGAGGCCAGCGTTGCAGCGGGAACGCGATTCGGAGGACGCGTAGCCTGACATAGCATTGCAAGGCAAAGCCCCAACGGGGGGGGGGGGCTTCTGCGGCCCCAAAAATCAACGAATCGACACCGAATGTGGAATCACTACCGATGGTTTTGTTCAGGAGCATTTTTTTTTGATTTTGGGGCCTGGTTGGAAGGACCGAAAGCCATGCCGTCGCTTGGCGCCGGAAATAATGACGCCAGTGCTGCAGCGGGAGCACGAATCGGACCCAGAGGAAGCGCGCAACGAATCGACACCGAATGTGGAATCACTACCGATGGTTTTTCAGGAGCATTTTTGTTTGATGTTGGGGCCTAGTTGGAAGGACCGAAAGCCATGACGTGGCTCGGCGCTGGAAATAATAACGTCAGCGCTGCAGCGGGAGCACGATTCGGAACCAGAGGAAGCGCGGAAGTGAGGCCAGCGTTGCAGCGGGAACGCGATTCGGAGGACGCGTAGCCTGACATAGCATGGCATGGCAAAGCCCCACCGGGGGGGGGCTTCTGCCGCTCCGAAAATCAACGAATCGACACCGAATGTGGAATCACTACCGATGGTTTTGTCGGGGGCATTTTTCAATTCATTTTGGGGCCTAATTGAAAGGACCGAAAGCCATGACGTGGCTTGGCGCTGGAAATAATGACGCCAGCGCTGCAGCGGGAGCACGATTCGGATCCAGAGGAAGCGCGGAAGTGAGGCCAGCGTTGCAGCGGGAGCACGATTCGGAACGGACGGAAGCGCGGCAGTGATGCCAGCGTTGCAGCGGGAACGCGATTCGGAGGACGCGTAGCCTGACATAGCATTGCATGGCAAAGCCCCAACGGGGGGGGGGGGGGGGCTTCTGCGGCCCCAAAAATCAACGAATCGACACCGAATGTGGAATCACTGCCGATGGTTTTGTTCAGGAGCATTTTTTTTGATTTCTGGGCCTAGATGGAAGGACCGAAAGCCATGCCGTCGCTTGGCGCCGGAAATAATGACGCCAGTGCTGCAGCGGGAGCACGATTCGGAACCAGAGGAAGCGCGGAAATGAGGCCAGCGCTGCAGCGGGAGCACGATTCGGAACGAGCGGTAGCCCGAAAATGAGGCCAGCGTTTCAGCGAGAGCAACATGTGAGAAAAAAACGCCTAAGCGAACACCCAACTCCTGGGAATCCTGAGTGTACATAAAAATCAGTACGCGGAGGGGGGCCGGACATTTCCCGGGCGTCGCTAGGGGAGAGAGGAGAGTAGTATTCATTTGGAGTAAATGTGGAGGAGGATGGGGGGAGGAGGAGTTGTTGCAAGAGGAGATGGAGGCTGCGTAGGATGAAAAGGGAGGATCGAGGTGGAGGGACATGGGAAGGAGGAGAGCAGCAACAGCAGCAGCAGCAGGAGCAGAACGAGAAACCGAAGCCGGAGGATGAGGAGGAGGAGATTTGGCATCGTTCGGACGTGTGCATTTTTTCGGCGATGACCATCGAGGAACATATTGGATCATTTGAATAAACGCATGAGATCGAAAAATGCACGGGAATGGTGGTCTGAGCGATGGCGAGGAGAGGGAGGGGGAGGGCGGATGACAAGGACGAGCAGGAGGTCTGCTCCAGCAGGCCCCAGATTTCAAAATAATCGCGCAGAGCAGCAGAGGAGGAAGAGGAGGTGGAGGATGGGGAGGGTGCGCAGGCGGAGGAGGAGGAGGAGGAGGAAGGTGGAGGCAGCAGGAGGAGGCTGGGTAGCAGAGGGGGGAGGAGAGAGGAGAGAAGGGGGGGGGGGGCAAGCTATGTGCGCAAGCGTCTTATCTGACGTCCCACCCCTCCCTCCCAGAATTTGCCATGGAGTAGATCTCCTCTCGATTCGCACAGTCGGATGTCGAGCAGGGCGATGATCTCGAGAGGGTACGAGATGCATGGCAGTGCACGGCGTAGCACAGCGCGTAACATGTCCGGCGGGAACAACAGAGAGAGAGAGAGGGGAAGCGGACAATGACAGCGAACAGCCGGTCCCGAAGAATGGGTCGAGACCTCTGGTGGTCGGCGTCGCGAGCAAGCTTGGACGCCGGCGTTCTGGGTCGCCCGGCGAGGGGGAGTTTGCGTCGCCTGTGTGAACCTCACGTGGCCCATGCCCCCCAGCTGGGGTCCGAGCAGGTGGGGTCGGAGGACCGTGCCGCATCGGCGGTGCATCAACGATGCGGCGCGGCGTGGGAGCTGATTCTCTCCACGCCGACGTCGCCGGTGCATCGTCGGCGTTGCGTTCTCGAGCCGGCGCGTCGACGATGCACGGGCGACGCGGCACGATCCTCCGAGCCCACTCCGCTGGGGCCGCGTTTGGGGTGCCGCCACGCGGGAGGGGACGGCGACGGCTGAGCTGGGCTGCTTGCTCCGCGGAGCTCGCGGGGGCCACACACCAGGACGTGCGCGACGCCGCCGTGAGCGGAGTGCTGCTCGCGGTTGGACTGCTTGTCGTGCCCGCCCTTGCCATGTCACCCTATTGCCCCCGAGTTCCTCCTTCTGCTCCGCCTTGCCAGATCACCCCACGCCCCTGAGTGCCTCGTTCTGCTCCTCCGTGCCACGTCACACCACCACCCACGTCCAAAAGGTTCACTATTCCGACGTGGATGGTGACTACAACGTCATGGTGATGGATCTACTGGGGCCTTCTCTCGAAGACCTCTTCAACATGTGCCATAGGCGCTTCAGCCTCAAGACTGTGGTGATGATTGCAGAGCAGATGTTATACAGGACCAGCGAAACCTTCGCCGCACCAAGCATGGCTGCACGGGGGCAGGCAAGAGAGAAGACGGGGGTTAGAGAGTGAGCGGTAGTAAGAACGAATACGCGATACCACTCAGAATCGCCCTCACATCCAGGAACATGTTCGCTAATTGTGGTTGGGGGACCGCGCTCGGGCATCATCACAAGTCTCTCTCTCTCTCTTCTATATAAATAAATTCGATGTGTATATATACATGTGCATGTCCCGCTCTCTCTCTCTCTCTTGCCTCTTCTCTCAACATACATATATATATATATGTGTATATTCATTTACGTGTTTTTCTCCGTGATTTGTCCTTGCTTCCTATCTATGCCGGTCGATCTGATATCGCTAGATCACTACCGGCCTCTATTTCACCCAATTGCGCTCAGGCGTACAACAATGGCACGTCAGTGCAATTCTCTCTCGCCGTCTCTCTCTCTCTCTCTCTTTTTTTTTTTTTTGTTCTCTCTCTCTCTCTCTCTCTTTTTCGGAAATGTTTCACACATACACTGTATTTACACGCCCTCTCTCCTTTCTGCCTCTCTCTCTCTCTCTTTCTTTCCCCGCTCACTCTCGGATCCATCGTGTTCTTCGCCGCGTCTTATCCATGTGCTCTCATCATCCCTTGCCTTGCCACGCGTCACCTCTCTCTCTATATATGTATGTACTGGGAAGGCCTCACGGCCGGTGCCTCCGACTCAGAAGGACGACGACGACGACCACGACGACGACGACGACAATGACGAGCTGATGACCCTGCAATGGAGGGAGGAGGGGGAGGAGGAGCAGGAGGAGGCGGAGGAGTCGGCGGAGGAGGAGGCGGAGGAGGAGGAGGGGGAGAGGGAGGGAGAGGGGTAGGGGGAGGACGAGAGGAGGAGGAGAGGAAGAGGAGAAAGAGGAGAAAGAGGAGGAGGCGGAGGAGGAGGAGGAGGAGGCTCTCATCATCTCGGCCCTTCGTTCGCGCAACGTCAAAAATGCTCTCATCATCCCTTGCCTTGCCACGCGCCACCTCCCTGCATGTATACCCAGACATGCGACGTCCTGATTTTGTTCAGTACGGCGTCCCCCGAAGTCCCGACCCTTTCCCCAGGACGAATTTTCTACCCTGCGTTGTTTTCTGACGGTCCCGGGGCCCTGCGAGGGCCTCTGGAGGCTCAAAACGGCGAAAAACCTCCGTCCTGCATTTTGTTGAGACGCGGGCGTGTCTGGGTATGTATGTGTTCAATTCCCCAACAAAGCTTACCCTCAGGGGCCTGCTTGTGGCCGCCCCGCCGCCGCCCCTTCGCCCAGTCGCCGCCGCCCGTCGCCGCCTCGCCTCGGGCTCGTGTGCCTCCCTGGCCGGCTTGCGGCCGCCCCGTCGCCGCCCGTCGCCGCCGCCCGTCTGGGCCTGCGTGCTGGTCCGGCCGGCCTGTGGCCGCCCCGTCGCCGCCGCCCGTCGCCGCCACATGGTGGTCGCAGGTTTTGGAGGGTGTGTGACCCGCAGAGTGGCACCACGCAGAGGGCACCGCGTAGAGTGCACCGAATGGCTCGAGCTTGCGCAGATGGCACCAGATAGATGGCTTCGCACCGCGTAGATTGCGCAACATGGATTGCACCGCATAGCCTGCACCGCGGAATTGCACCACACAGCTTGCACCACATACATTGCACCACATAGTATGCTATAACATAATGTTTGGGTCCACGAATGTCTGCGTGTGTGCATATATATATATATATGTAAATATAAATCCATGCGTACATACAGACAGGCAGGCAGGCAGGAAGACAGACACACAGACAGGCAGACAAACCAGACCAGACCAGACCACACAGACAGACATTCACACATACATACATGTGCCGACCGTCGCCGTGCTAATTGGCGCCTCGGTTCGGTACATGATCGGGTTGGGGTGGCTATGGCGCACCGTCGTTTGTGAGTTTCGAGGTCAGAGCTACTGGGCCTGTCAGGAGGCCTCTTGCGGCCTCTCGGAAGCCTCTGGGGGCCCTCTTCTGGGCCTCTCGGAGGCCTGCTCGCGATCTGCTGGCGGTCTCAGGGAGCCCTCTGGGGCGGAGGGCTCGAAATCTCAATTCGAGTTGCCCTTCTTGGATCCCTCTGAGGGCCCTCTTGGACCGTCTTGGGCGCTTCTTGGGCCGTCTTGGGGCCGTCTCGGGGCCCTCTTGGGGACCTCTGGGGCCGTCTGGGGGTGATCTATGAGGCCTCTGGGGCCGTCTGGAGGCCATCTGACGCGTCTCGGAGCGATGGCTCGGCGACTCGTGGCCCTCTTGGACCGTCTGGAAGGCCTCTTGGATCCCTCTTGGCGCACTGGGGCCGTCTTGGGGCCCTCCAGGGGCGCTCCGGACCCAGCCCCACCCGCACGCCGGAGATCAAGGTAGATTCGTTCTCTACATGTGTAGGTACCCATTGTAAGGAAGGTGTGGGTGTGCACACGCGTGTCCATGTGACTCTGCGGGCGAGATTCCATCTTTGTGTATTCCAGTCGTGCAGTACGTCCGATGCCCGTGACATGTGAGCAGAGGATGGGGCACGCGTGTGTCCTTAACTGTCCTGACGCCGCCGAGTTTGCAGCGGGAAGCGTCAATCGACTTTTTCGCTGATCTCCTAGAGTTTGGAAAAGCCTAACTCGCCAATTTACCTCCCCCAACTGGTGCGAAAGGACTCTTTCTGTGGGCTCGTAAGGGTGGCGGGGAGAGGTCCCAACTGGGCCGCCCACCACCCCTCTCCCCCCAAAGTCCCCGGAACTCTCCCACCTCCCCCACTCCAAAGTCTAGGCCTCCTAGATGAGGTCGGGATAGATAGGGTCGGAGGGTCGCGCCGCATCGCCGATGCATCGGCGATGCGGCTCGATGTGGAGCCCGATTTTCCCCACACCGACGTCGCGGATGGGTCGCCGACGTCGCCGATGCGTCGCTGATGCGTCGCCGATGCATCGCCGATGCATCTGCGATGCATTGACGATGCGGCGCGATCCTTCGACCCCATCATTCGGAACCCATCTAGGAGGCCTTAGGGGGGAGTCGAACCTCACCCCCCCCCCGCCCTTGCGAAGGTCGGAAGGGGGAGTCTCGCCCATGCGCGCCAGCAGACGGCGACGAACATGACGACGACTACGACGGCAGCGACGCCCTTGACGACGACGACCACCACCACCACCACCACAACCACTACTCTAGGCCTCCTAGATGACGTCGGGATAGATGGGGTCGGAGGATCGCGCCGCATCGCCGAATCGTTGGCGATGCATCGGCGATGTGGCTCGATGCGGAGCCCGATTTTCTCCACGCCGACATCGCCGACGCATCGCCGACGTCGCCGATGCATCGGGGATGTGGCGCGATCCTCCGAACCCATATACTCGGACCCCATTGAGGAGGCCTCTAACCACGACGACCACCTCCACGACTACGATGGTGACGCACGACGTCGACGATGACGACGACGGCGACGACGGCGACGACGACGACAAAGAAAAACACGACGGTGACGACGGCGACGACGACGACGGCGTCGACGATCTTGTGAACATGTGATCTAACAGGCTGATTTGGCCTTCATTTGTTTCCCCCCTCTACCATGTGCCCACCCGCTAAGTCTATGAAGCTGACGCGCCGGCGAGCATTTCACGAAATTGATGGGAGTTCCAGGAAGTCTCGGCCGAGATCGCCACTCCTGAGATGTAGGGCCTCTGGCCAGGGAGTGTCGGAGTAAATTAAAAGCACGTGTCGAGCGGGAGCTGTTGTCGTCGTATTTGGCCTTCGACAACTTGATTGACTTGCCAGGACGTCCTTTTACGAGAGCGCCCTTCCTGAGTCTGGGGGCCTCTCGGTGCCTCTGAGTGAATCCCGAGGAGGTATCAAGCAGGAGCCGGTGTCGTCGTACTTGGGCCCTCAGGGGCCCACATTTGGAACCAAGCCCGCGCTCGAGCAGGAGCCTCGGTCCCAAAGAAAATGCAGCCGACGACGAGGCGAGATCGCCTGTAACCGCTTCCATAGACCAACAATAATTGTACTCGACTCTAGAGATGGTCGGCGGCAAGCGAGAGGGGGAAATGTGAAGGAGAAGGCCCTTTCAGAAGGCGGCGTGACTTCTCCGAAGGTCTCGCGCCTTCTGAGAGAAGTTTTCTGTGTCTTCTGGGAAGGCTGAGAAAACTTCTCAGAAGGCCAGAGGACCTCCGAGCCTTCTGAGAAGGCCCGCCACTTCTAATTTCCCTCCCGGGCTCGCCGCCGAGATGAGCATTCGACGCTGACCATACTGACACTGATACTGACGACGATGACGACGACGACGACGACGGCGGCGACGGTAAAGTGTCGACGACTGCGACGACGGCGACGAAGACGACGACGAAGACGACGACGACGACGGCGACGACGAGGACGACGAGGACGACGGCGAAGGCGGCGGCGTCGGTGCCGGCGACGGCGCCAGCGACGGCGACGGCGACGGCGACGGCGACGGCGACGGCGACGACGACCACGACCACGACCACGACGACGACGACGACGTCGATCACGACCACGACCACGACGACGATGACGACGACGAACTGCAACCTGTCAACGAGCGAGGTTTACATTCAATTTCCCCGGCCCACCCGCCCGACCCGCCCGTCAGGATTCCGCACGCCCGACCCGCAGCCCGCTCGAACGCGTCAGAGCCCGCTCGCCTGCCTCAGTGCCGCGCCCGCCCGATCCGCCCTTTGGCCCTTACGATCCCGCCCGCCCGATCCGCTCATTAGGGTCCAATCTGGTCAAATCCCAGACCCCCCACGTCGTGACCCCAGAGGTCTCCCCTTCCCCGGGATCGGTTTTTCATCCTGAGTCGTTTTCTGATGCTCCCGAGGACCGGTCAGGGTCCCCTGGAGGCCGAACTGAACGGAAAACCTCCCGTCATGTTTTTCTCACAGCGCGAGGGGGTCTGGAATGCTTGAGCCCCGCCAGCCCGACCAGCCCGTCAGGGCCCCGCTGGCCCAGCCAGCCCGTTATATAGGGTCCCAACCGCCCGACCCGCCTCATAAGGTCCCGCCCGCCGCCGCCGCCGTCGCCGTCATCGTCGCCGCCGCCGTCGTCGTCGTCGTCGTCGTCGTCGTCGTCGTCGTCGTTGTCACCGTCGTCGTCGTCAGCGTCGTCGGCGTCGTCGTTGTTGTCGTCGCCGCCGCCGCCTTCGTCGTCGTCGTCGTCGTCGTTGTCACCGTCGTCGTCGTCAGCGTCGTCGGCGTCGTCGTCGTTGTCGTCGTCGCCGTCGTTGTGTTCACCTTCGTCGTCGCGTTCGTCGTCGTCCTCCACGGTGTTCTTGTCGTCGGCGTCTTCGTTGTGGTCGAACTTGTCGTCAACGTCGACGTCGTCGCTTGCCTGTGTGCGCAGGAGGGGTGACCCCCCCTCGACCTTCGCAGTGGGAAAAAGGGGTTTGGGTGGGGGGGAAAGGAGGGATTTCCTGGTTCCCGACGAGGAGCGGGGGGTCCTGGTTGCTCCTGCGCACGGCGCCCGTGAAAGACGCTCTCTCTCTCTCTCTCTCACTTGTTTTGTTCTCTCTTGTTCTGTCTCTGAGGTCGAGGAAAGGGTTCACGCAGCAACAGGCCAGGTCTTTCGTGCGCACGTCAGCCGCAGCTTGCACAAGGACCACTACTTATGCACGCGGCGGCCCCGCTGTCGGACGCTCAGTTGTTGCAAAGGCAGGTCTGGTGGAGTCGCACGCACATCGAAGCTCATTGGGCCCGTTCCCACCTGTCTGGTGGCGACCGTCGATTGTGACTTGGGCAGACTGTGGCATGGGTAACTTTTGGACAGTGAAGGGTTGGCCCCGCATGTGAGTAGTGAGAGCTAGTCTTCAGTTTTCCCCAGGGGCCCCGACGAAACAGAAGGTTGTTTCGAGGTCAGATCTACCCTCGAGAACCCTGGACCAGGACAGGTTCACGGTCCCTGGGAGATGCACGGGAATAACAGTGCGAGCAAGCAAGCAAGCCAGTAGCAGCCACGTAGCAGGTTTTATCCCAAGTTGCCCCTTAGCGTCCCTCTGGTTTGGAGGTGTCCGGTCATTAGCCATTCTTTCCACGGGGTATCTACCCAAGGATCGAGTACCTCCACTCGAAGCATTTCATTCACCGCGACATTAAGCCTGACAACTTCCTCGTGGGGGCCGGCAAGAAGGCGCGCCGACCGCAGCCAGACCTACCGTCCTCGCCATTGCCCGTTGTTTGTCCTGCTCCGCGGTCTCACGTCTGACTCCGCGTGTTCCCCGCGGCCGCTGGCCTCTGCGCGCCGCGACGCACCGGCCTGGACTCGTCGTCGTCGTCGTCGTCGTCGTCGTCGTGGTCGTCGTCGTCGTCGTGGTCGTCGTCGTCGTCGGCGGCGGCGGCGGCGGCGTCGGCGTCGGCGTGGTCGTCGGCGTCGGCGTCGGCGTGGTCGTGTCTGACCCCGTGAGGTTTCCCTTCGCCCCCCTCGGCTGCCGGGAGAGGCGCCTCGTCGCCGCGGCCGCAGGCTTGGCGCCCACGCGGGCCAGGATGCCGTCGCGACCAGCGCGGCAGGGGGCGGGCCCGCTGGGCGCTGGCCCGAGGCGAACCCAGACGTGCTCGCGGCGCAAAATCAGATCAGGACGGGAGGTTTTTGGCCAACGTCGGCCTCGGAGGGCCCTCGCCGGGCCTCGGGGCCGTCGGGGAACGACGCAGGATGAAGAACCAACCAGTCCCGGGGAAAGGGTCGGGGCTTCCAGGGGCCCCGCATTGAAAACCGCAGGGCGTCGCATGGTGCTCGTTTTTTATTCATTGTTTTGCCGATCGGCGTTGGCCCCAACCCCCCCTCCCCATGGAGTAGATCTTGGCTGTTTCTGGTGCCTGTTTCGAGCGAGTGGAGTCTCCCCCAGAGGCAGCCCTCTTGCAAACAGTCGCACCAAGCAGAGGTCTGGAGCCAGACCCCCCCCTCCCTTTCCGCCCAATGTCGAAACGCCGAATAAGACAACGCTCATATGTCTGGGAAGAAGATGCGCGCCACCGCCCCGTTCGCCACGCAAATTACGGTATGTGGGGGCGCTGCTCAGGGAGTGCGCCTGGGAGGCTCCAGACCCTGGGGGGCCCCTGGTCTGCGGAGCGTGGCGGTGAGAGCCACATGGCCAAGCCTCAGCTGGAGTTCCACGGGCTGCCAGACTTTGGTTTCTCTCCTCAAAGTGGCTCGCGCCATTCTGCCGACCCCCACAAGAAGCGTGCTTGAGACGATCGTGGAAGTCGTGTCCTGGGTCGGGAGTTTCCTCTGGATGAGGCTAGAGGGTCTCTTGGGATGCCTCTCTGGGGCCTCTTGGAGATCTCTGGGGGGCATCGTGGGAGGCTTTTTGGGGCCTCGTCATCCACTTGAGGGCATCTCGGGATGCCTCTCTGTGGCCTCCTGGAGCACTCTGGGGGGCATGTTGGAGGCTTTTCGGGGCCTCGTCATCCAGTGGTTCCCTGCCCAGTATGCCCTCATCGCACTTAGGCCCCGAGACGATACCAGCTAGCGAAGCCCATACCGCGCACGGCCGCGCGCCAGGCGCGGGGCGCCTCCCCTGCGCCTGGCCGCCCCCCTCCTGGCCTGGCCGGAGGGGCCGACCGCCTCGAGGGCCTATGGGCCCCGGCCCCCTCCGCCCCCACCCCTCCCGCGCTCTGCGATCATCCGAGTGGCTTGCGCCGTCCTTCCGAGCCCCACGTGGGGTGAGTGCTTGAGACGATTGTGGAAGTTATCCCTTGGGTCGGGAGACTCTTGGAAGTCATGCATGGGGGGCTCCTTGGGTGCTCCTCGGGGGCCTCTCGGAGGGCCTCTGGGGGCACATGGGGGGCTTTGGCGGGCCTCGTGGGGCCCTCTGGGAGGCTTCACCTTTCCCGTGCTCTACGATTATTCAGCATGCGTCCACGATGCAGTTACAATCAAGGCAATGGGAAGAGCACGTTTTTTACCCTCTGGGCCAGAGCACGCTTTATGCCCCCCCTCTCCCCACCCCTCCCGCACCCCCCCCCCCCACACCATAACGTAACGCTCCTCCCGCCCAGCGCGTCCCCAGCGCTGCCACAGAGCGTCCCAGAGCGTCCGGCACCAGAGTCTGTCACGGCGGGGGGCGCGGCGTTACGTTGTGCGTCCCCGCCCCCCTCCCCCCCCATCCCCCCCCATAACGCCCGTTATCACAGCGAATAAAGCACCCTCGAAGGGAGGGAGGGACGGGTAGGATGTCAGGCATTGCGCGACCCGCGCCTGGTTTGTTGTGAGTACTACCCCCCTCCTCGCCTCGTCTTGTAACAGACAGTCTCTGATATCAAGCAGTGGCGAAGAGTCCTGGCTCGCCTATAGCCCTAGCAAACAATGTTCTAAGACCCTTGTGTGGTTCCCACGACATGTTCTTAGAATATTTCTGGCGGAGTCTGTCCTGTTTGAACACATCGGGTTTCTGTTCGAAGAACATTGTTTTCGTTCTTAGAACATGTTCGGGTTCTAAGAACATTTCGTGGTAGGACTACAGGAATGCCGGGACGATCGGCCCCTGCTCAGCTGATATGTCCGAGGGCTCTTTCAATCTGAGCGTCTTCGGTGTCTCGCAGCGACGGTGCTGTCGCTGCACCGTGGGCCTCATTTCAGGATCCGCGCTCTGCCCCCCATCGTTCGGAAGGGCACTTTCGCCCCAGTCGCCCCAGCGCAGGCCACGCTGCTGGATCTGAGTGCTTCATCGTCGTTGTCGCCCCGCTCCTTCCCCCTCTCCCGCCTTCCCTTGGTCATCCTGCTCTTCCCGCTTCTCCACTCCAGGTCCTGCTGCTGCTGTTGCTGGTCGTTTTCGTTCTCCTCTTTCCTCCTCCTCTTCCTCCTCCTTTTCCTCCTGCTGCTGTTGCTGTTCGTCTTCGTTCTCTTCTTTCCGCTCCTCCTCCTCCTCCTCCTCCTCCTCCTCCTCCAGCCCCCCCAAGAACAGGATGCGGGGCCGCTGTGGGGGGCCCCCAGCCTCTCCCACCGCGCCAGGAGCCGCGCCGCGGCGCGGCGATGGCGGCTGCCTCTCAGGCGGCGAGGATCGGCGCTGGCAGGTCCATGCGGACGCTGCCACTGCTCTTCGGGGTCTTCAACCCGCTGTCGGCGCTGGGGGGGAGGGCTGAGGACATAGCGGACGAGGTGCGCAATTTCGATGTCTTCGCCTTGGTGGGAACGCAGAGTATGGCGCCCCCTGGCTACTCACACGGGCTCCAGCCAACTGGAGATGGACGACTGATTATCGAATCAGGTTGGGGCCCTGGAGTGTTTACTAACAAATCGGCTGGGTGCAGGTTACTGTGGGGCAGGAGGGTCAATCGTTCGCATATTCGGCGTGTATTTCCGACCCCTGCCCAGATTCAAGGACGAGTGCTCGCAGTTAGATGCAAAAACGGACTCATGGACGTAATGGCCATAGCGATGTATTTTCTTCCAAAACCGAAGTCGGCCAAAGCTGGAACACACTACAGAGAGACCTGCACAAAGATGACACAATGGTTGGACCAAGTGCTGCTGAGTACCCCACATTCGTCGCTGCCGCTCATTTTCACGGACCTCAACGACGGCATCGGCACTGGATCAAAAAAGGACGACGGCTACATCGGCGAAGGGGTCATCAGCGAGGCGCATGCGACGAGGGAGTTCAGGGACGGTGCAGGCCAGCAGATGAGAGAACTCCTTCATAGACACCACTTTGCTGTGTTCAATGATTCGCTTGCGCCGACATGGTTCGGACACTCAGGAGAACACTCGCGCTTAGACTACATTTTTGGTCCTGTAGCTTGGATAGACGTCTTGGTTGAGTCAGCACCCCTTCGGCGTCTAGGACGGCGTCTTCAGTACATTCCCGATCGTGAGCTACGTGGCCATGTGCCAGTATTCGCTAAGATAGTGTATGACAAGTTGGCTACTTGTGCAGATCAGTGCGACGACATTCAGAGGGAGAAGTGGAACAGAGATACTTTAGTTTATGCCCTTCGGCATGGTGACCGCAAGCATGACTATTTGACGAAGCTGAATCATTATTTGCAGCAGAGCATGGAAGAATGGGTGCAACTTGGGCTGAGATCCGCTCCAGACGCTATTTTTACGTTTCTCGAGAAGGCGATGGTGGATCACGGCAAAGATTATTTCCTGGAGCCTCAGCACGTTGATGACAACTATCGACAGCTACGACAGGCAAGGCTGGCTATTCTTCGGCAGCGCAGAGACCTACGGGAGGCGACGTGTGCGACATACTACACAAAAAGGCAAGTGGAGGCTCAGCTCAAAGCGATTTCCAGAGAGTGCGGTAAAATTCGGCAGTGGGCTCGGCAACAGACGCGAGAAGTTATTTCACAAGAGATTCAGGAGCACTGGGATGGCAGAAGGTTTGCACAAGCGTATCGGGCTACCGTTCGGCTTGGCAACTCGAGGACGGGGACGAAGAGAAGGGATCTACGGGCTCTTCCCCTGGCGCATCCGACGAAGACCGAGTGGATGAGTGCGCTCAAGCAGCCAGGACGCCTAGGCGGAATGGGCGCGCAGGAGATCACGCACAGCCCACGCGAGGTAGGAGAAGAGTTCGAGTGTGAAGAAGTACCAGATGATCTTCCTCGTATACCTGACCCTTGGGGGCATATGCCCGAGGACGACGAAGAGAGGATGCCAGTGTTCAACGACGATCACGCCACCGACGCGTTCCTGGAGAGCAAGCGGGACCTAAGGCGCCTCAAGTGGCACTTGTGGGCGACCCCAAAGAGGAAAGCGTGCCCAGCTCAATCCCCACCAGCTGAGCTCTACTGGGTGATCTTACACCCTGCTCGAGACCCGTCACGACGTGGAGTCGGCTTCGACTTGGAAGATTCGGACAACAGTTACGTCGAGGCTGCGCTGCATCTGGCTTTCTACAATCTTCGCCACCACCAGCTTACGCCGAAGGATTGGCACATCAGCGAGTGCTATGCCGCAAAAAAGAACGAGGAGCCAGGAGCTAAAGGACGACGATTGTTGCACATTCTGCGTGTCTTGGGCAAAGGCTTCTTTGCAACGTGTATTGGAGCACGACGACCGCCACCACTTCCCCCTGAGCATCACGGGTACGCCAAAGGTAGGCGGAGAGAGACAGCTATCATGTCATCCATGGCGACGGCTTGGAGACTGAGGAACATGCAGTGTTCCTACATTGACAGCTTCAAGGATATGACGAACGCCTTCCCGTCGGTTGGATGGTCTTTTATGGAAAAAGCAGCTGCAGAACTGGCTCGAGAAAGGGATCTTCGACTGGCACTTCAACGTATTCGACGCGCACAAGTTCGCCTTCCAGCTGCAGAAGGTATTTTACATTTCCGTCCGACAGAGGGTGGACTCATGGGGGGCCCATTCATGGTGCACTGCTTCCCTCGCGCTTTCTCTCATGCCGTCGTTCCGTGGACTGAGCACTGGCGACAGAAAGATGCTGCAGATGATAAGTTGGTTGTGAAGTGCCCGATCACGATGCAGCAGGTTGATCTGAGTTTGCACATTTACGCTGACGACATTAACAAGAAGGTCTTGCAGCATCCACCAGCATCGAAGGAGAACGTCGACCTTGACAAGCTCAGGAGCAAGTTGAACGAAAGCAATAGCATCATGAACACTTGCTTGCTGGAGATTGGATTGGCTCAGAATACGTCTAAGCAGGTGAACATCATGGCGCTACGCGGAACGGGGAGCGGTATTGCGAGGAGGGATTTGCGACAGAAACACAACAGAGAACTCTGGGAGGGCAAGCTAGTCGACCATGCCAGGTACCTCGGCCCGATCGTCAACAGCACGCAGTCGTTTGGCATTGAGTTGACTAAAAGAGTTCACGCTGCTAAAGCGGCTTTTTTTCGATGGGCTCGTTCTGGAGTGCAGCGCGTATTCCGTGGAGGTGGAGGCGCACGGTTCTCTTGGGACGAGTGGTGAACGCAGCGCTCTCCGCCGTGGAGGCCTTCCTGCCGTCCAAGCGCCGGTGCGACACACTGGACGGCACTGTTGCAGCACTGGCGAGGATTGCTATGCGGGGCAGAGCCTGCACATGGAAAGAAAATGGAGAAGTACGCTCACTCACGAACGCAGAGGTCCTGGCTCACTGGAAGATAGCACGAGCAGAAGTGGAGTTACGAGTACGACGGCTACGGTGGCTACAACAGGCAGCGGCTGACAGGAACAACAATGTCCAGTTTTTCGCGGCGGTTTTTTGGCACCATCAGTGGGCAGGCTTTCAGCACGCTCGGCGATGACGATAGCATTGCCGCCTCTGCGAACCCTTGGGCCAAGAGAGTTCAAGCGGATGTGGATGAATTAATTCACGCTTCGGAAGAGGCGCAGGCGCTGATGGAGGAGGCTGGTCCGCACGTAGTGGCTTGGCTAAAACATCCTGAATGGAGGTCGCAGTTCTGTCAAATTGACGTCACCATCCTCCGAGCTCGAGAATTCAAACACAACATCGCGCCCCAAACATGTGCCCCGCCCCCAGCCCTGGAGACTGCGGAAGAGGAGATCACGATTCACGAGGTGGAGGAGGTATTCAAGTGCCAGGTGGCGGTGGAGGGGAGGACCTGCGGGAGGACCTTTTACTCGAAACGAGCCCTTCGTACTCATGTTCGACAGGTACACAGTATCGTAAATATGTGCTCGTTCTTCAACCCCACGAACGAGTGCATAGTCTGCCAGACAGTATTCGCCACGCCTGTTACTGCTCGTCGGCACCTCGCTCGATCGTTTCAAAGAGGTTATTGTGTTGCAGATCTCGCTCGCGCCCTCGTCGAAGCCCAAGAACCACGGTCCCTCGACTGCCCTGGCTGTGATTACGTAGCTGGCTCTTGGCTCGAGCTACGCCAGCATCTGGTTCGGCATCTTCCTTTCTTACCAGATATACGTGCCCCTGCTACGGTGGGCAAGAACCTCCGCTATGGCAGACGACGCGGACATGCCAGGCTGGATGAAGCAGGCGGGGATCGCAGACCCCAAGTGGGCGCTGCCCAAATGCAAGCGTGGCGCAGAGGTCGAGGCGGGCAGCGTGCAGAAGATACAGAAGGCCGAGGACATCGCGGAAGAGGCCAAGGGCAAAGCAGGCAAAGGCGCCAACAGGGCGCAGGTCGTGGCGGCGCTCGTCGCCATCCTCGGCAAGCTCGTGCTCAGCATGGCGGGCGACCTCAGGGCGGTCATCAGCGTGGTCTTCGTAACGGCCCTGGTGCCGACGGCGATCCCGTGCATCGAAACGGCGATCAGGGCTGGCAAGGACTACCACGCGGCGGCGATGAAGCTGCGCGAGGAGAGCAAGGAGGACGACAAAGTCGACACGGCGAGGCTGGGCAGTCCGCATCTGCACGTATGGAAGGACTTCATTCGCGCCCTCCTCGCGAGTACAGAGGAAGGAAAACCTCGCGAGATACTGACGTACTACTGGCGCAACCACATCATGAGGTACGAGCTCGTGGACGCAGCAGCGGAGGTCAAGTACTTCAGAGTGAGGACCCCGCAGGGCAAGGAAAAGAAGAAGAGCAAACGCATGGAGGGCAAGGTGAGATTGCAGTGGGCGCTGACGATGACCAACAAGACGGCTGCGGAGCTGGACGAGGTGCTGCGCTCGGAGCTCATCCGTCAGGGGGCGGAGATCACGACAGGAGCGGCGCCACGCGGTGTCTTGGAGAGGGACGCCAGAGCGCTCTTGAACAAGCTCGAAGGAGGCTCCAACCAGCTGATGTGAGAAGGATGGACATGCTGTCGTCTAGCGCTAGGCTCGAGGATTTAATTCAGAGAGGAACTGTTAGTCGTGAAACGGTTCTAGCCTCATATACTTCTGTTCTCATGCCCGAGGTTTCAACGGATTCCCAGGGCCGATTTGTGCCTGTCGCAAAAATTCGGCCGCGCCCTAAGGGGCGTGGGAGGGGTAGAGGGCGAAACCAGAATCCCTCTGGGCGTGGGAGGGGGTAGGGGCCGCTTGTGCGTCGAGCCCTGCTGCAGAGGATGCCGTTGGGGGCCCTCTGCGGCAGGATGCGGCACCAGGCTGCGCTCACTCCCTTTCGTAAGACTTTTGGGCCGCCACCTCCTCGCCCGAAGCTCATACCTTTTTGGGGCCGAGGAGGGGCCCGAGTGATATTTTCCACCTGTGCCAGCGTGAAAACTCGGTTGCAGCCAATCTGGTTTGCCGCCCAGCGATTTCAACAGTCGGATAACTCTGCTTGTCTTCGCCCAGGGATGTCTAAGTCTAAGTCTCCTCCTCCTCCTCCTCCTCCTCCTCCTCCTCCTCCTCCTCCTCCTCCTCCTGCTCATCCGCCACCTCCGCCTCCAATGTGCGGAGCTCCCCTTTTTTTCCGAATGCGCATGACACGGTAGGAGTCTTTTTTGTAACTCCAAGCCCGCCATGGCACGCATCGGCGGATAGAGAAAATTGCAGCGCAATGGGAAGGGATGGTAGGGAGGGCGGGGATGTCAGATATGGCGCGACCGCACCTGGCTTGCCCCATCCCGTTCCGTTTTCTCCTCTGCCCGCCCCCTTTTCTCCCTCCGCTGGTGCCAGGCAGGTGGCGAAGGCATGGCTGCCGACTTCCAGTGGCTCGCTGCACTGTGTTGAGAGCTTTCGTCCATCCGCCCGTCTCATTCTGCATCTCACCCTCCTCTCCCTTCGCTCCCTGCGTTTGGTTCACTTCGACGCCTCGCCCTCCCAACACACACAGCCTCAATTCCCTTCCCTCTTCCCATCCTTGCAATCAGGAGCAACCGGTAGCAATACCCACCCTCCACCCTTCCTCCGCAACACAACCCCAAGAAAAAAACTCGTGGGGCCTCTCGGAGCCCTACGGGGGGCCCGCTCAGGAGCCTCGAGCACCTTCTTGGGGTCATCCTGCAGACCAGCCGCGAAGCACTCGATCGGCACTCTTCTCAGGGTGTACAGAAACAGTATTTTAGGGCTCTCCTGGAACTCTCTTGGGGTGCCCATAGGAGCATTTGGAGTCCTGGATTCCCTGCGGGCCCACCTTAGGACCCTGTTCCGTCCATATTAGGACAACTTGGGAGCGCGCAAGGCTCATCGGACGCCGAAAAGGAGAGAGGGCCAAAACTGTTGAAGAGCCCAAGTGTTCGAACTTTGGCCTTGCAGGAGTATCCGGGAGAGGCTTCAGGGCCACCTCGAGCCATCTTGGAGCTTTCCAGGCTCCAGCGTGTCGCGACCAGGGGGTTAAGCGGAGGGGGTGGAGGGAGGGGGAGGCGGGGGTTCTTTTGCCAGAGGTGGCACCCTGAGCACCTGGGCTGGGCTGGTGAGATTCGTACGGCCCGTCAAGGGTTGCAGCCGCCAGGGCCAGGCTCGACTAGCCTCGAGAAGCGTTTGCCACAACCCAAACTTGTTCAGGAGAGGAAAAAGCACACAGACACAATTAATCCTCGATTCCTCAGAAAACATGGGAAGACATGGGTAGTGGGGGGGAAGACAGAAACCCATAAAATATTGGAAAATATTGGGGATCTTTTTATTTGTGTGTATTTGTTTGTGTGTCCTGGGGCCCCTTCAATTGTCTCACTGGTCCTGATCGTCATCACTGCTGGTTCCTGGCACTAGCCCCTGTTGGCCCGCCTGAGTCCCAGCAGACTTGATTGCCGCAAGTGCCGGATCTGAGCCCCTACGAGCCCCTTTAGCCGTGACCTCTGCCAATGCCGATTGTTCGACGCTCGCGCAAGCCCACAACAGCCTCTGGGGTCCGCCATTCCGTCGCTGGGGCGACGAAGGGTCACATACAACGAACTGTGCTCATGTGACGCCCAGCTCTCTGACCGCTTTCGAGACTCAGGGAGCCCCTGGAACTGCCGAGAACGCTCCAGCACTACTTCCAGAGGGGCGCTGGCCGAATCTCGACCGTGGTCGGCGGGGTCGGGGTTTGAACGCGCCGATCTCGGCCAGACCCGGGGCCTACAAGAGGGAACCCATGCCAAGAAACACCCTGCTTGCCTCCAGGGTGCCCTGGGTTTCCTAGGTTTCGATGGTTTCGCGATGGAAAGCACGACGTTCCCACACCAACAATCAATGGACGTCTTGGGGTCTCAGGGTTGGGTTTCTTGCGGAGGGTTTCTTGTGGTCGAGCTCCTACTGTACAGGAGGGGCTCCCCTCGGCCCCCCCCCGCTCACCGCCGGCGTCGAGCACTTGCGCCCGCGCGCGTGTGCCTTCCCGACGACGACGGAGACCGCAGGCGTCCATCGTCCATCTCATAGACTTTGGCCTCGCGAAGAAATACCGGGACCCGAAGTCGCAGCAGCACATACCCTACGTGGAAGGGAAGAGCCTCACGGGCACGGCCCGTTACGCGTCCATCAACGCCCACATTGGTGTCGAGCAGAGCCGCCGAGACGACCTCGAGGCGATCGGCTACGTCCTGATGTATTTCAACCGCGGCAAGCTACCGTGGCAGGGCATACAGGCTCCCACAAAGGACGACACTCGTGCTACACCCTGCCCCTCCCTCTTTCTTGCCTCTGCCCCCGCTCTCGCATGCCTCCTGGCTTGCCCATTCACCGCAGCCGCCGATATGCCCGCGCGCGGTTAATAATTGAAGAAGAACAAAAAATACATGAACATAAATAAATAAATGTTCGGCGCTCCGCGCGGATTTCTCGGATCCGCGGGGCAGGCGCAGGCCTCCAGCGCTGCCCCTGGCGCGCTCCCCGCGCCAGGGAGGGGGGCCCCGCGCAAGTCCAAGAAATCCGCGCGGGCCGTCGAAAGGTTATGCTTTATGTGTTTCTTCTTCCTCCAAAACACCAAGGAAGTGAAGTACCAGAAGATCAAAGAGGTCAAGATGGAGACCCCGATCGAGGCCCTCTGCGAAGGGTACCCGGAGGTCGGGCACCCACCGCCCCGGCTCGAGCGAGGGAGGCCGCCGCCGCCAGGGAGGCGTGTCCCGTGGGCGCCTCTCCTCGCGAGCGCTTGGTCAAAACCGAGGCATCCGAGCAGACCAGACATAGCGATGTGGGGTCCGAGCTCATGGGGGTGGGGTTCCTCCCCCTCCTCCCCCTCCTCCTCCTCCTCCTCCTTCTCCTCCTCCTTTTCCTCCTTCTCCTCCTCCTCCCCCTCATCCTCCTCCTTCTCCTCCTCCTCCTCCTCCTCCTCCTCCTCCTCCTCCTCCTCCTTTCAAGCCACCTAGGCCCAAGCTTTTTGCTCGTGCCGACCCTCGTGCTTGCTCGGAGCGCTTGAGGCACACAGAGCAGAGTCCTACAGAGAGAGCCAGTCATTTGTGACCAAAGCGACAGTGTCAGACCCGACCCCTTCCTGTCAGCCATGGGGGGCTCCTCTTTGAGGGGCCAGCGGCTCTGGAGCAGATGCCAGCGCGGGGAGTGCGAGTGGAACGATATCCTCACCAGGTAGGGCGGCAAATGTGGCAAGTGTCAGCGCGACGTGGTTCTCGTTGCTCCCAAGCAGAAGGCTCGGACTCGTTCGCAGTCGCCTGGTCGTGTGTCATTCGCCGATGAAGATGAGGTTTGGAACACCGAACCTGGGAGCAATGGGTCCCGGAAGACTTTCAGGCCTCCGTGGGAGACAGCCACCTTCCTCTTCCTCCTCCTCCTCCTGCTCCTCCTCCTCCTCCTCCTCTTCCTCCTCCTCCTCCTCCTCCTCCTCCTCCTCCTCCTCCTCCTACTCCTCCCCCTCCCTCCTCCTCTGTCCTCTCCCTGGCTCCCCCTCCTCCGCATCCTCCTCCTCCTCCTCCTCCTCCTCATCATCATCATCATCAGCATCATCATCATCACCCTTATCCTTATCCTTATCCTCATCCTCCTCCTCATCCTCATCCTCATCTTCATCCTCATCCTCATTATCATTATCATTATCATCCTCCTCCTCCTCATCATCCTCATTCTTCCCCTTCTTCCTCCTCCTCCTCTTCTTCCTCCTCCTCCTCTTCCTCCTCCTCCTCCTCCTCCTCCTCCTCCTCCTTCTCCCCCCCCTCCCTCCCTCCCTCCCTCTCTCCCTCCCCCTCCTCTCTCCTCCTCCTGTGAGCGGGAGGGGTCGGTGAGGCGTGCTGCTGTCATGCGCGCCCGTGGCCCGACAGCGGTCGACCGTCCGCGCTTTCTGGAGCTCCGCTAGATACTGACCGAGCGGGATGCGTCGCCCGACATGATCGCGGCCTCGGAGGATGAGGAGAGGGAGGAGGAGGAGGAGGAGGAGGAGGAGGAGGAGGAGGGCGCCCAAGAGCGGCCCCAGCACAGTCACAAGAGGGCCTCGGCTGCCCGCCTCGGCCGTCTGGGGAAGGCCGGGGAGCGCGGCGCGGGCGCCCGCACCCCTTTTCCACGGGGGGGGGGGCCGTGAGTGTGAGGATTCGGAGTTCCCAGACATGATCGCGGCCTCGGAGGATGCTGGCGGCGCGCACGGGGAGTCAGGGAGAGGGGAGAAGGCTTCTTGGAGGTAGGCCGCTTCTTAAAAGGCGCCGACCTAGCATCTACAGATGAGGCCTGCGCCTTCTGGACGCGTCGCCCGAGGATCCCGAGTGTGAGGGTTCCGAGTTTCCAGAAATGTGCGCAGGGGATATCACTGGCCGCTCGGGCCGCGTAGGATCTCCATATGCATGCAGAGCAACTGCAGTGCTGATATGTTGCCCAGTCCACGGTTCAAAGCGTGATTTCGCTTGTTGTGGGTCGGCTTGTTCGATGTTTCCGGTTTGCCGAAAGACGTTTTGAATCACGATGTGATAAGGCATTCAGGTGATGTTCTGCGAGAGAAAAAATAAAAATAATAACAACAAAGTCCGAGCTCCCAGACATGATCGCGACGTTGAAATCAGAACGGGAGGTTTTTGGCCGTTGTTTGCCCTTGGGATCCTTCGCCAGACTGTCCAAAAGCGACCAGGGATGAAAACCGCGTTCTGGGGAAGGGTCGGGACTTCAGGGACCCCGCATGGACAAAAATCAAGACGGCGCACATCTGGGTTTGAGGATTCCGCAAACGAAGGTTTGTTCCGGCTGCGCGTGGATGCCCGTAGGAGCCGCCCAAGCCACGCCTCCTCCTCCATCTCCTCCCTCCCCGCCCTCCTAGCCAGAGGTCTTCTCCACGTACCTCAAGTACTGCAAGGCTCTCCGCTTCGAGGACCGGCCCGACTACGCCTACCTCCGCGGTCCCTCGGCCGCGGTGCAGAAGGGAGGAGGAGGAGGAGGAGGGGGGAGGAGGAGGAGGAGGAGGAGGAGGAGGAGGAGGGGGGGGGGGAGGAGGAGGAGGAGGAGGAGTTGTGGCGACGGCGCGACGGCGACGGCCCTCCAAGGATGGCAGGGTGGTTCTCACCCGGGAGGGTGCGCCAAACAAGAGGCTGGCCAGCCAGCAGGTGCCCCCCTCGGAAGCTTCTTACCTCTCCGATGGCCACGCGGGGGGGGGCCCGCAGAGGCCCTGGGGCACTCCTCCTCCTCCTCCTCCTCCTCCTCCTCCCTCCTCCTCCCCCCATCCCCCCTCGTCCTCCTCTCCTCCTCCTCCTCCTCCTCTCCTCCTCCTCCTCCTCCTCCTCCTCCTCCATCCCTCCTCCTCCTCCTCCTCCTCCTCCTCCTCCTCCTCCTCCTCCTCCTCCTCCTCCTCCTCCTCCTCCTCCTCCGCCACTCTAGGGAGCTCAAGGCTCGACGAGACTCGTGGCCCTGGATTTCTCGCAACAAGAGTTCGTATCGTATCGTATCGTATCGGGGGTGCGAGGTCGCCCGCAGGAGCGCGAAGAGAATCGCGCTTCCTCTTCCTCCTCCTCCTCCTCCTCCTCCTCCTCCTCCTCCTCCTCGTCCTCCTTTTCCTCCTCCTCCGGCCTGGGGGTAGAGGATCCCTCTGTCCAGGGCGGCGGCGCGAGGGCGCGAGGACGACCGCAAGTCTTCATCACAGGGGCGCGATGCGCGAAGAAGTCTGGCCTGCTCAGGAGGCCACCTCCGCACCCCAGGCCGCTGCCGCCGTCTAGCGAGCACCCTGCCCACTTACCAGACCGCCCCTCGCCCCACCCCCCGCACCCGACGCCGCTCAAGCTCGGTCCCGAGACCCGTCCCGCGGCTCCTCCTGGAAAGTTGTCCGAGCTGCGCCCGCCTGTGGCAACCTGGGACGCCCAGGAGGCCGCAGACAATTCGCACCTGGATCCTCGAACTTGTGCTCGTCTCCAGGTCTCTTCAAGAACCTCTACCAGCAGGAGGGTTTTGTGAACAACGGCATGTTCGACTGGTCGCAGCCTTCAACTCAAGGGAGCACCACAGGATTATGCCGTTTTTTTCAGGAGGAGGAAGGAAGGAAAGAAGGAAGGAAGGAAGGAAGAAACGAAGGACGAGGAGAAGGAATGAAGAAAGGAAGGAACACGGATGATGATAATGGTGTTTGTGTTGTTGTTGATGATGATGATGATGATGATGATGATGATGATGATGGTGATGACGATGATGATGATGATGGCGGTGGTGGTGGTGGTGGTTATGATGATGGTGGTGATGATGATGGTGATGATGATGTTGATGTTGATGATGATGCTGCTGATGATGATGCTGATGCTGATGCTGATGAGGATGAGGATGAGGATGAGGATGAGGATGATGACGATGACGACGATGGTGACGATGATGATGATGATGATGATGATGATGATGATGATGATGATGATGATGATGATGATGATGATGATGATTATTATGATGAGGAGGAGGAGGAAGAGGACGAAGTGGGAGAAGAAGGAGGAACAGGAGGACAGAAGATGAGTAGGAGAACAACGAGAAGGGGGAGGAGGAGGAGGAGGAGGAGGAGGAGGAGGAGGTGGAAGGAGGTGGGAGGGGGGACGCGAGGAAGAGGAGGAAGAGGAGGAGGAGGAGGAACAGGAGGAGGAGGAGGAGGAACAGGAGGGAGGGAGGGAGTGGGGACAAGGGTCCGTAGCCTATTGCTTCAAAATGATAGACGTCCGAAGACCGACGATGAGCTTTGGACCCTTTTCCGCAGGTGGCTTTAGCCGCCTCTGTGGCCGCCAAGAGGCCACGGCGCTCGCTGCGCCATCATTGAGTTCAGTGATTGCACTGTTTGTTGCTCTTCTGCTCGGGGCCGCGCCATGTTCTCAGCTGCTGGGTCCTCTCATGATGGCTCCAACAGCACTGGTCGAGCACTGCAGCGCAACAGCTCAGACGAGGATGGCGACAAGAAGAAGGTCCGCGACACCTCGAGGGACTTCGAGATGGTGGGAGACGGCGCCCTCCCTTCGCAGGAGAGGCAGGCCTTCCTGGACGCGAGTACTCTGCCTACACCGTCACCGCGGACACCACGTGGACACGGAGAGCTGTCAGTTCCTGATGGGGATGGAAGGTTGGGATGAGGCCGTGCTGGCACTGGCGGCTCCTCACCAGCTGCCATCACCCCATTCGTTTCGTCGGGCACCGGGGACACCCTCATCGCCTCTGGGGGTCCCGCTGCTGGACTTGCCCGTGCCCGTCCATCCTGCGCGCGAAACCCAATATACACATTGACAAAACACGCTCGGACGTCATGGCCAGCCTGCAGATCATGCGGCAGTCTCTGTCTGAGCTCAGCCCGACGATGGGGGAACATTGCGCGAGCATCGACAAGGCGGCGGAGAAGCGGATGTGCCACTTCGAGCACAGATCGGAGATTCACGATACTCGTATAGTTAGGCTGGAGAAGGAGTTGCGGGACTTGCTCGGCCCCACGCGTCGAGAGGAGCTTGCTGGTCGCCCCGCTGGCAGCGCAGGCTACGACAGGGAGGCCGACCCGACGACCATCGCCGAGCGCGCAGGTCCCGCCCCCCAACGAGCACGTGGCCAAGGCTGTGGAGCACTGGCTGGCGGAGAGCAACATGGACAGGGAAGGAGAGCCGGTGGACAAGTGGTACCAGATCGTGGTCCAGGTCCAGCGAGGCCACGGTGGGGGCATGGTCGGCCAGGTCATCGGTGCGCTCAAGTCACCTGGCCGTAATGCTGGCAGGAGGAGGGTCACGGCGCCGTCGCCCCTTTGGGGGCCCGGGGTCGAGCTATCCATCAGAATCGACAAGGGTCCAAATATGGTGGCGCGTGAGCTGGGGGCCAAGAAGATCATGCGGGCGATCGCCAAGATCCACCCGAACCGCAAGTACTTTGTGGAGAAGGAGAAGGGCGTGGTCGTCTCGAGCTGGAAGGAGTGGTCTCGCACGAGCCAGCCCTGGGAATGCGGGCGCCGACCATCCACCCCAGCGAGAAAAACATGGCGGCGTTCGACATGGACGCGGTCGCGGTTCGTTGCGCTGCATCTAACCTCTTCGCCGAGAGCGCAGCTGCCGAGTGGTGTCTCTAGCGGCATCCTCCGAGCATGGCAGGGGTCATCTGCCGCGAGCTCGAGTTTGACGGTCGCCAGCTGGAACGTTCGAGCCCTGCTACACCGCGACCTTCGCATCCGAGAAAATCGCCTACCTCAGGACCTCTCTGCCCGACCACCATCTTCGGGATCCAGGAAGGCCGCGGGGCGCTCGCGGGCGGAGGGGGAGGACGTGGTGCATCAAACGCATAAGCCCGTCAAAATGTTTCACTCCTGCGATGGGGGCGAGGGCGCGGAGTGCGCGAATGTCGGCGGCCTGCTGGCGTCCCCTCCAGATCTGGGTGCTCGCGTTACCTTCCGCGCTTGGGTCTCGGTTCCGGGGCGCGCGTCGAATGTGGGGCGAGAAGATCCAGGTGACAAAGGCCACCGAGGAGGATTTTGACGGAGCTCGGTGCATCCATGGCTGTGCCCGGCTGTCTGGGCCGGCGATTTCAACGTCGGCCCGAGCCACCGCGCCCCAGCCTGCCCGGCTGGGAGTTTCGCCCGAGCTTCTGGCACCGCGAATTGCGCGCAGGGAGGGGCCCATCGTTGCTGGACCACGAGTAGGATGGCGGAGGTCGAGCAAGATGGCTGAGGCCGAGGAGGAGGAGGAGGAGGAGGGGGAGGAGGAGCAGGAGCAAGAACAGGGTGGCGTAGGATGCCGAAGTGTAGGAGGTGAAGGACGAAGAGGAGGAGGAGGAGGAAGAGGAGGAGGAGGAGGACAAGAACGAGGACGACGAGGACGAGGAAGGGAAGGGAATGGGAGGAGGAGGAGGGGGAGGAGGAGGAGGAGGAGGAGGAGGAGGAGCGGGGCTGGGTTACTCTCGCCATGTCGGGCCAGTATTATTTGCTTTACCCTGTGCCTGACCTTCGCTGCACCCGTCCGCGGCATAATTTGATCGCCGCTCCGCCTAAGTCGGCGTCTTCTTTCTTCTACTGAGTGCAACAGGAGCAGTCTTGCAAGTACAGATCAAAATATCCCTCCCACCAAGCACGTGATGCAAGCACTTATTTTTCTCCGAACTCGAAGCAAAACGTGAGTAGGTGCCTCCACCCTCCCGCCCAGCTTATGAGCCACAATTGCCATGGGCGGAAGGGAAATAAAATTCATTACCAGCCTAAATATTTCATCCTCGCCTGTCTGATTTTCACACGGAAAGAAGCAGTTGCTAAAGAATGCGCAGCAAATTCTGAAGCAAGCCTCCAGACTATTTCTGAGTATGCCTGTCGGCTCGACCAGCCAAAAGCCGCCCGCACACCGAACAACAGTTATCAGGACATCAAATCAAATCTTGAACAGCAAATATCAAAATATCCCATCAAATCTTCAGCAACAAATATCAAGATAACAAATCAAATCTTGACGCACACATCATCCAAACACTTGAAACTCAACTTCTCTTCACTTGGGAGGGTGCACGCACATCTCCTCATTCAACCAACGTAAACACAAACTTGATAGTGAATCTCAATGCAATATCTTCCACCACCAAACGTAAACATAAAGTTGGTAGTGAAATATCAATGCTACCTGTACACCACCCAACGTAACCACGAAGTTGGTAGTGAAATCTCAGCGTAACTGAACTGATTTGATGTTGTTGTAGGCGATGTAAGTCTTGATACTCGGATCCAGACTGTAGCTCCGCTCCTGCTTTCGTCAGCGTGCAGCTTCAGGTACCGGCCTAAGCAATTGGCGTAGTGCTTGTCCTTGCTGTATATGTCTGCGAAGCTGCTGCCCTCGTATTTGCCACTCTTTATGCGCATCGGTCCCAGAGTAGCCAACCATTGCCTCAGAAGAGCACTGTCCCCCAGGTAGATCTGTCCACCCTCCGTGACCTTTTCGGGGTACGTCTCCACCTCAGGCTCAGCCTTCAGGCATAGCGTAGCTGTCCTGAGTTTTGCCTGCTTGGGCACCTCCGCCTTGCAAAGGTTATCGCTGCTTGAACTGTCCACCTCCATCGGGCCATACCAAAATCCTCGTCGTCGCTCTGCTTAGGCTGCAATATGTAGATAAACATGATGACTCCCGCAATGATAGAAACCACGTCACCACCGTAGGAAACATCGAAATACAAACTCCATACACTGCAAGTGCACAGAACTGAAGCAGAACTGCAACTTGGTCAGGTACCTGGATGGTTCGCTGCGCGCCACTCCTATCCACTTGGTAATTGTCCATCGCATCGTCCATGTAGACTGTTTCGACACAGTCGGTCTCGTCATAATTTGCGTCCTTGTCATCATAGAAGCACTCGTCTACATAGTTGTACGTCTCCGCCGGCCAGGTAGAGATCTCATCGTTCCCATCGGTGTCGTCGTACAGCTCCTGCTTGACGTACTTAGCCATCGTCGCGTTCAGGTCGTCGACCTCCTTGTTGGCTGCCACCTTCTCTGGTCCAACTAGTTTCCGTCCGCGCATTGATGGTGCTATGCCATCAGGCCCAAGAGTCCACAAGTTAGATGTCACAATCTTCCTCGCGTGGCCTCCTGGAAGCACTTTCGTCAAACAGTCCGCTAGCATCTGCTCGCTCTTGACCCACTTGATGCTGACCTCATTTAGTGACTAAGGTAGTATAGCCGCCTCCAGAGAAAGCCTCCTATCCGACATAGATACCTTTTCCATCGTGATCGTGTCATACAGGCTCTTGCAGTCGGTCGCTGAAATGCATTTCACCGGGCAGGTGCCATGCACGATCTCGGCCGCATCCATCTCTGAGTATAGGATCTTCCGCCAGGGTTGACCTTGTCCAAATCAACATATACACAGAATATGCACAGGAGCATGCCTCCGCCGATAGAGTAGATCGCACCACTCGTTGAATATCCTAAAGGCTGCCGCCTCTGCCGCCGACCCCAAAGGAGGCTTTTTGTTTTATTTGTCTTTGCGGCTTCTGCAGCATTTAGGGTTGTCTTTTGGGCCATTTCGGCGGCC